AGAAAACAGACGGTGATGCAGTCTCCACAGGCCGAGCGGCGTCGGTCCTGCGGCTGTGATGCTAGGCGATGGTCGATAGGCAAACGAAACAGATGACACATCTTCAGCAAAATGGCTGGTGAACTAGGCAAATCGGCATGCATGTTTGATGTTGTGCACAAGTAAGCTCAACACAACCTTAATATGAAAAGTGTGTGTACGTGGAGGGGGGGGGGGGGGGGGGGTAGTTAACATTGCTGCCCCCCACCCATCTTAAAAAGTGGGGAAGCCAGGCCTCCTTGCCCCCCCCCCCCCCTGTTCCTACACCCATGGACGCACAGATGCAGTGAGCACGTTGCCAAAGTAGTACGGTACAAGGTACAAGGTACCACATATCGGATGCTATTAATCATTCAGGCTGGCTGTCCGCACATGAGTATATTTCTTACTTTGACCTGTGCGTGCTGCACAGCACTCCGATCATTGAAAAGCCAGTTGTGCCACGCTCTGCGCTGATGTGCAATCGTAAGAGCGTGGCCTCGGAAACGCCGCAGCCATACCATCTGAGCATACCTTGTGCGAAAAACAGCCATGCAGAAAGACGATATATGCATCGCGCGGTGCAGCAGTAGACCGAGAAAGTCATAACTCAAGATCCATCCAGCACTTCAAGCGTCAGTTCAAAACTAGGATTCGCAACATAATTAGACAAACTTGACTTTCTTCTGAGTGGGAGCGTGTCGTGTGCAGCGGGTGGGTGGGATGGATGGAAGGGTGGCCAGGTGTTTTTAGTCGCATGCGACCTTTGCTACGACCATGTAAGTTAACGGTGGCCTGATAGTAAGATCATTGTCGTCGATTAACCCGATTATGGGCATACATGCTTCGGCATCTTGTTCAGATTGGTTTTGTGCCTTTCCTTTTGCCAGCCTTTTCACCCCTTTTCTGTTTTATGAATCCGTCAAGATTTGCCCTTAGGGCTATTGGAAACACGTAACACGGAAACACGGTGATGGTGTTTTCATTACGACGTTTTTTAGTTCCTAGCGTTGCGGCCGGACGCAAAGCTCAAGATTGCGAGTAGGTGGGTAGTACGGACTCAAAGCTCAAGCTTGCGAGTACGTGGGTTGTAGGCTTGCGAGTAGGTGGGTAGTACGGTAGCAAAGCTCAAGCTTGCAAGTAGGTGGGTAGTACGGACTCAAAGCTCAAGCTTACGATTAGGTGGGAGAAGGCTTGCGAGTAGGTGGGTAGTAGGCTTTTTATCAGCTTTCCTTTCCTGGTTCTCGATTTGTCCTACATTCTCGCGAAGCGTCCTGTTTGTGCAAGACAAGCCAGATGCGCCAGCCTTGAGTGGGCTTAAGTGCTTCCTGATAGTGGCCCCGTCTGAGCGCTGAGCAATTACCCCTCATGGGATCTGTGCGGGCTCAATCCCGGCAGCTGTACCCCTAGGTGCATGCAGCCTTGCCGAACAACCACCCACTCTCTTTCATCTTAAGGTTTACGTTAGTTATTTAACACATAAATATTTCTATTATTTATTTAGGGTATTACGCTCAATCAACCATGGACAAAATGCATGGAGCTTCGGAGGCCATCAGTGTATTATGTTTTAGTGATCATTTTCAAGGGAAGGCTTTAAACGTTTTACGCCTCTCTGAGAATGGGTTCTGGCTGGCACCCATTCTGATGGTGGGTTTAAGTCACGAGCAAAGTAACGGGTAATTAAAAAAATGCGAAGAGATAACCACCTTCACGATTCTGAAACGGAGAAATACATTGTTATGCGTACAGGGCTGTTCGAAAATGTGTATAAATATCAAAAGGGGTCATTGTTATGCTCTTGAGTCAAAGTCTTCTTATGTGTTACCAGAGAACTGCCATAAAGGTTGACTACCCTTGTCGCCTTTACAACCGGGAGCGAATGTGTTTCTAAACACATCATATGCAGCCCACGCCCGCCTGGTCTGGTCTGGTCTGATAGGCGCCCCGGTGTGCGCAGAACCAAAGACTTCACTAGCGTGATAACAGATGGTCGTTCAGCACCTGGCCCCGTCTGCACCGTCTGGTCGTTCAGCACCTGGCACCGTCTGCACCGTCTGGTCGTTCAGCACCTGGCCCCGTCTGCACCGTCTGGTCGTTCAGCACCTGGCCCCGTCTGCACCGTCTGGTCGTTCAGCACCTGGCCCCGTCTGCACCGTCTGGTCGTTCAGCACCTGGCCCCGTCTGCACCGTCTGGTCGTTCAGCACCTGGCCCCGTCTGCCGAGCAGGCCGCCGTGCCTTTGGTCTGGGTCAGCGCTTCGCTGCTCTGTTACCACGGCCAGTCGCGGCGCATGCGACGGCCGCCGTAGCCCATTGGTGACGGCGTGAGGGGATGCCTGCCGACTGCTCAGCCCGCGAGACGAACACTCGCCCGTTACGTACCCGTCGAGGCGGTCACCCACACCCCTTTGAGTTGTGCGGAAAGGCACTAGCTGGTCGACGTAATGGAACTGAACCAAAATGCCAGAATTCTCATGTGATGTAGCTCCAGGTTAACAGAAATGTGTTTGCATAATTACTTTTTGCTCTGAAAATAGCCCACCTTCATTAAACCAAGCGGAGAAGAGGCTGGGGGGGGGGGGGGCAGAACGAGAAGTTGCCCCCCCCTACCGGTAGGCATGGGGAGGCAAGAGCAGGTGCTCGGCCCTTCCAACTTTTTTGAGGTCCCTTTTTCCAAACTCAAAGATACTGTAGCTGCCCGTAAATCAGCAATATATAAGCAGGGCCAATATTATGTTAAGGTTACTTTGCCCGCTCGAGGGGTCCCTGTTCGAAACTAGGGGCCCCCTGTTCTGGGTCAGGAGTCACCTTCTATGTTCAGGAGGCCCCATTTTCAAACGGACAGGAGGCCCCATTTTTGAAATGCATTTCATGCGTCAGATGGCCGCGGTTCCCGATCAGGATGACCTGTTTTGAGAAAACGAGGCTTCCTAGCTAGAATCCTTTTCTGAATCGGAAGCGTCTTGCTCTGGATTAGGAGGCTCCGCTTCGCATCATCAGACCCTGTTTGGCACAGGTGGCCCTGTTTTAGAAAGCGAAATCCTTTGCTGGATAATCAGATGGTCAGCCAGCCGACAGCAGTACCACATCTTATTCACCATACCGGATCTTTGAGTTGTCAGCATCGGTTTTATTAGCAATGATGCATGCAGTAATTCAATAAGAGGGCTCATGCCCTCACCGTCTCTTTCCCTTGAGTACGACGCTGCCCAGGAAGCCCCCCCCCCCCTTTTCAGAAGGCTTCATTTTATCCAGGAAAGCCCTGTAAAAGCCTGTCCCAACGGAAAATCCTTGCCATTGGTCCTGCCAGGAGATGCTGGACAAAACGAAGATATCAGTCATTATGAGGTGTCAAATAAGCATTTGAGCTTTCGACTTACATTCTAGAAATCCCTGAGGCTTAATGACTTGCTTCTATCGTTTATTTAAGCACAACGGCAAGTGAATTAAACGAGTCTGCAGATCCGTTCACACCATAGCTAACGCAGTTTTTTTGCAAAACGCATGTGATGTCGACTGGCTGACTGCTCCCTAGTGTACTGACTACTGCGTTCGTTGCTAGGATGCTCGTGTCACTACAGATATTGATGGGTTACCACCGATGACTGCTGCCGTGTATTATGACGCCTGCTGCTCCGGTCAAACTGATAGACCCACAACGGTGCGATCAGTTGCGACGTAAGAAAGCCCATCGGCATGATGTATCATATCTTGTAATGATAATGACAACCAGCAGTTGCGATACCAGTCCAACAATATTTGAGAAATATATTGCCGTTGCTGCGGCTCTGCTGGTGCCCATACTCGGGGTCCTGCTCTTCATATATGGTGATCACGTAGGCGGCAGTATTTGCAGCCAAATGCAAACACTGAAAAATCAAGGAGACGACCAGAGTGACATGGTAGCCTCCTCAGCAGTCTAAAATGCGGGGATGGTGGTGGTGTTAAAAACGTCGAGGTGAAAAATAAAGAAACGCGACTGCTGAGGGAAATGTTGGCGTAAAACAGTTGCAATCGATACCGAATTGTATGAACAACGAGCTCACGAAGGATACAAATCGTCATGACAGTTACATAAATCAGACAGAATTATCCCAGAGAACCGCACCCTATGTAAAGACGTCACAGTTGATGCGGGCAACAAACTGCATGGGGGTGCGCAAGAGCAGGCATGATGTTGCATATATACTAAGCGGCAGGTACAACGAAAAAATAAACACCGAGCATGAACTGCAAGAGAAAAAGTAAACAAAAACTAAAACAAAGGAGAGGGAACAATGTCAATAACGTCAGATGAAAAAACAAAGCCGAGGATGCACCTGCTGCACTGTACCTACTCATAAATGCGGCAAATACCTACATACCAAAGGATCAAGAAGAGGCGGGAGAGGTGGGAAAAAGAAAGAACTCCGTTGGGGATGAGCTAGGCGAGCAACAGAACGAATAAAGTGAATGCAGAGTAGAAATGCAACGTCGAATGCAGCCATGGTCGGAAGGGAAAGTATGCTGCATTTGTACCTCAGCCACGTTGGGACTCAACTTTGACTTAAGTGTTATGTTTTAAGCAGCACCGGAAGATAGAGGCGATTACATCGTGGAAAATGCCGTACCCACCACAAAAAGAGCAAGCATTGATTATCGATGTCGTTATAGTCATTGAAACAGATAACATCTTAGAAAGAAGTGAAGCTTTGCACTAGAGTGTTCCCGATGGTATTCAAGCGGTCAGTAACGCGTGACTGATCAGACAACTGCGGCTGTGTGCTCTGTAGAGCACAGAACCGGTCAGCAACGTGTGGCTGGCCAGACAACTGCAGCTGTGTGCTCTGAGGAGTACAGGTGTCTTGTGCAGGATAGGGACGGACGATTGGCACAACGGGTCCCCTACGCGCCGGGTTAGGTGCCAGTAACGCACCCGCGCTGCATGTGTGTACGATGCGCCTGTGTGTCTGGCTGGTTATTGTCGATGCGTGCCCCACAG